TAGCCATCTCCTTTATTAAATCTTCTTATTCATCATGTAGGAAGAAGAGCTACTTCATGTCGCTGATGGAGAAGTTTAAAGCTATGGAGTTAGAACTCAAGCACAATCTTCCCAATTAAATGATTTAAACTATAAGATTTGATACAAATGAAGCACACTCACCCTAGCTCAAGTTGTAATTGTCTTCACAGGTGTATGGCATCCACAGCTAGAAGCTGGGCAAGGGACTAGGGAACCTTCTGCCACCCAGATCAACTCTCCCAAGCTCGTGCCAAAGAGGCTCCTCACCTGACCTAGAGAAAACACAGCATTTTCTGAATAGTTATCACCCTTCTGCAAAGATCAAAAGAACTGCCAACAAAGCTCGTTTCTGCCATAAAGCTAAGAGCAACAGCCAAGGCTATACAGATTGGATACAGGCTTAAGAAAGGTCATGCTGGCTTGCCAACAGCATTTTACCAAAGTTTCAAGGAAACTTAAGCTGTCAAATTTTTATAAAGCTGTCTTTGACATCTGGTCCCCAAGGAAATGAAACAGTCAAGATTAACTAGACCCACTAATTATGTAGTTAACAAGTGACTACAATAGACAATAAATAATATCCCTTTTCCCACGGGGAGAAATAAGCATCGTGGACATGAACAAACTTCCTTCTGTGGACTTCCCCCCCAAAAACATTCACCCTTGAGGTGAGCCTGCTCCAGCAGCACGCTGCCACCCTTCTGCGGGCATGGGTGGCAAAGCCAGAACCACCCTCTGCATCCAGAAACATGGGGTACTCCCAGTGCTCCCCTCAACCCATGCAAGGATCTCCTTCCCATCATCAGGGGGGAGACCCCAGACCTGCAGACTGCTGACTGCTCTCCACCGAGGGAAAACAGCCTCTCCCATCTATCACCACGTTGCACTGGCTGCTACGGGCTCCTCCGAGAAAACCAAGCAGCTATCACAGTGGTCAGAATTCCACAGCAACTTGTGCTTGCTAATTGTAAAAATCACCCTTCCCCAGAAGCAGAGCTCTCTGTCTGGAGTAATTAAAAACCCCTTAGTGTAGTAACACTACTGAAAGGACGTGGCAGGACACTTCCCTGCCACCAAGACCCTTCAGCACGTCACGGTGCTGGTGGAAAGCATTACTCTAGAAGCTAGGAGGAAGAGGTCACCTACTGAAATGTTGGTCTCAATGGCTGAAGTGCCTCTTAGAAGCGACTTTCCTTTCTCCTGAGCTCCCCACACCGCTTGAGGCATAAGCAATTCCCACCTGGCCAGCAAGCTCAAACTTAAACCCACCTCCCTAACACAGAGAAGAGGCATCAGAGTAAGCTCATTTTTCACTGCTGTCTGACCAGAGTGTGCTCTAGCTGACACTGCCGGGTCCTCTCTGGGTCTCCGACTGAGACGAAGCCATCAGTAAAATCACAGGAGGGTGCACTATCCCCTCCTCTGGCTGTTTAAAATAAGTGTCACTAAACCAGACAGATGCTGGCGCTGTGTCTCAGCAGGCACTAATTTAGCCCATACGGAGTGCTCTTACACCATTTGTTCTGGGCAGAGCTTAATTGCAAAATTAATTATTTTCCTATCAAACAAAATTGTATAAGAGGGTAGTCATGGGACTTTTAAGCCTGATGGATGCTAAATGGGATTCGAATAAATATAAACAACTTTGGCTCCTGTCTGCGCTCAGGATGGCTAAGAGAGCAGCACTGCCAGGGCAGGGGGCGGCGAATGCCCGGCAGTGGGGGCCAGAGCACGGCTGCCACTGGGAAGGCAGGGGTGCAGAGTCTCAGCTGCCCTTCCACGGGGTGCCGGGATGGGGCCCCCGTCCGTGCCGGGATGCCGCCGCAGACACAGGCGGGCAGTGAACCACGGGCCGCACCGCCGTCCATCTCCGGCACATCCCGGCGGTGCTGCCGGCACCGTGGCAGGGCTTCCAGGCCCGTGCAGAGCTGGGGGAGCCTCTCCAGCCCCTCCTCGCCCTGTCCCACTCCAGATGCGCCCCTTCCCCGCGGCACGCCGGGTAGCCATCCCCAACGTGGAGCTTGGCGTGGCACCACGATGGCACTTGACATGGGGGTGAGGAGAGGGGAGCGTGGCCATCACCGTGGCATCAGGCTACTGCTGCTCTGGCCGGTGGTGTGCGGCAGCGTGTGCCCAGGCTGCTCCACACCAGGTGGTGAGGGTTTTGTATCTCAAGACAAGCCCGTTCAATTTGTTCTCATTTCTGACCCTACCGCAGGGGGTTCGGACACAAGCAGGGCTAACCACCACCTCAAACACGTCCCATGACAGGGCAGTCCAGACCTAGGTTTTGTTTGGAGGGCATCCCGTTTAAGTGGGCTGCATCCTCAGGTGATGGCAGAAATGAAAAAAATATAGATGGGACCAAAGCTGTGGCATGTGGGAGCCACAGCTGGAACAAGTTGCAACAAGTTGCGATTGTCCCCGCAGAAGCCCTCCCTCTTCAAACCCCTGACAGCCACTCCAGCACAGCACCCACCATGTGGGCAGGGCTGTGGTGGGCAAATTGCCTCAAAATCACACAGAAATGAGAAAACTGATTTTTCAAGCTCATAACTGTACAGTGGGAAAACCTTACCTGAGCAAAATATGGATGCCACATGCCAAGGTCATGTCTTGGACTGTAGGCCAACACAGCGTGAAATCTGGCACAAATCAAGTCACTGCTGCTCCCGTTGGGCCTGTCTGCTGAAGTATGGCCTTTGGGCAACCACCGGGCTGAGCTCAAGCTACGGTAAATTCTGTAAAAACACAGAAGAGACGACAGTCCCAGATGCAGACCAGAAAACTGGACCTCGGTTCCCCACCACTGAAAGGAGCACTTGAGCCACTTCATATTTATCAGATGAATTTATGAAGCTGCATTATGAAAGCATGGAACACTGATTCCTTTGGTGTCTTAAGAAAAAAAAAAAATAATCTACAACACAGCTTGTTCTGAGCTCCAACAGAAAGTCTGCAAACTTCTCTCTCTATATTTTTTTTTAAGTATCGCCTTTAATGCCTCAGGCTTGTGATCCCTGTTGACTTAGACCATATCTCTGAATTTGGGAGTATCTGACTTAATAAAATCTGTCTAAACAATGACACCTACCATGAGACTTTGTTGTTTTATGAGGTCTTGTATCCTCAGAGAGCAACGAGGCACTGGGCATGCAACCACTGCCCTCAAGTGGCATGAGCCGTGCGGGACCTTCCATGAAGCTCCTCAGCTTTATGCAACACAAGGGCACAGAGGCAAAGGCCTTTGCACAGGGGGCAAGCTGCTTGAGCATATTTGTGCGGTGAGGGGAAAAATATTAGACCATTTAAAGAACCTCTAGTCACGTAGCTTTTAAGAACTGAGCCTGGGAAGTGGTCAACGAAAGGAAAAATCATGCTTTGCCTGGGGATGAAACTAGGGGAGCACTTGCTGAACAGGCAGCTGCTGCGAGGCCGAAGCCTTCTCTGAACCAGGGCAGATGTGGCCATCAGCAGCCCATCGTAAGCTACCAGCAGCATGTCCACGCACCACCCGAGCCCCCGTGCTTCCCAGTATGGGAGCCTGCTCCTTCCCTTCCTCCAGCCACACTCCTTGGTGGTCCCATCTCCCAGGTCCCACCACGAGGAGCAGCAGCTTTAGAGCTGCGATGGGGCTCTTTGGCCATGCCTGAATGCAACCCCCCCATCTCCAGTGCCTGTGTAAAACAACTGGATGTCCCAGCGTGAATCAGGGTTGAAATAATGATCCTAATTTATTCTGCTTCTCTCAACCAGTCTCTCCCTTGGCTCCTGTGGCGTTTCCTGCATTAACTACTGGGAACCAGCAAGAACGCTTGAAGAGCAAGCAACTAGCAGGCATTTTTTTAATTATTGGGGTAGCTGAAACATTCTTCTACAGCTCCGCAAAGACAAAGGGTGAGAGCATTACAACACCATCATTTTAAAATCCTGAGCTGCACTGAGCTTGCAGGGGGGTCTGGGCACTGCCGAGACAGCGACAGTTTGTAACTGCTTAACTGTTTGACTTGACCCTCCTCACATCTTCTGACAAAATTCAGCTTAAGGCTCAAAGGCAAACACAGCGGCAACAAACATTTCCTTAGTAAGGCTGGGGATCTGCAGGAACAAAAACCTGAAGGGAGGGTTAGAAAGAGAGAAGGAATTGCTGTGGGGTTTGCTCCTGCATTTTTTCCTAATTCCTATGGATCTTGCCCGTGTGCTACTTGGGCAGCAGTTACTTGTGCCTGGAAACTTGCAAATGCCCAAGGAAAAAACCAAAATGCCTGTGGTACTGCAGGCCACCTCCTCCCGCTTGCTTAGCCAGGGCCCCGGCAGTGAGGCTGGGCAGCGCTCTCTGCCACCACAGTGACACAGGGGTCTCAAAACACCACCTGCGATTTACGGGCAGGGCCCTTGCCCCCAAGCACGGCGGTGTGGTGCTTACAGGGGGCTCGGGGAAGTCGCGGGCAGGGAGGTGCGGAGCCAGCGGGAGCTGCTGGCGTGGCCTCGTCCCGCACTGCTGCGGGCACCGCTCCTCTTCACCCGGTGAGGAACGCCCGTGCTGGGCTCCAGAGATGCTGTCAGTGCTTTTCCGGCCTGGCTGCCAGCCTGGAAAACAAAAAGTTCTCAACCAAAGCGAGAGCAACTGGGAAGGAACAAGGAGAAGGGCTCCGACATTCCTGCCTGCCGCCAGCGGCGTTTCCAGAGCGATGGGGCTGGAGAGGCTGAGCCTGGGGAGCTCCCAGATAAATAGGGGTGATGGACACATTATTGCAGCATTATAATGCCCTTCAGCAAAGGGGTTATTGCTTGGCCATATTGCAGCAAACCTCCCCGGTTAAAATCCCTTCCCTGGTCCTGTAACACAACTATCACATAACAGCTTCCCTATCTACAAGGCTCTTTTGGACCGAGGCTTTATATTCTGCAAGCAGAGAACAAGATTTTGCCAAGGGGGAAAGTTCTTCTTGAAGCAGAAGGACCGAAGAGTGCTATCGCTCATGGAGCTCAGCCAGGAAGGGATGGAGCAGCAGGTAATCTCACCAAAGCCTACTACAGCCGCATCCACAGGCGTATAAGGTAATGGCATTCACTTTGCTCTAGTTTAATGTGTTCAGCTCTGTATGTTTCTAGAGTCCCACACCAGACCTAAAGGCTGGCTCAGGTCCATTTGAAGGCAATAAATGCCTTAAATGAAGGCAAAACCTGCAGAGGGATCAGCGAGCATGGCACCTCAGGACAAGGCAGGTAATATGACATTCCCCACGATGGCAGACGCAGGGAATGATGTCTCCTGTACAGCCAGGGGCAGGGAACAGCAGGGAGGTGAGCAGAGGTCACCTCTGCAGCAGCTAGAGGAACAATTTCATCAGCCACCTCTCTGGCCCCTCTTCCCACCTGAGCAGCAGCTGCCCAGTCCCCCTTGCCCTGCACACCAGAGCACTGTGAGCATGTCGCGCCGTGCAGCCTCGTACTGAAAGCACAAGACAGGTACCAGTGTGGGGTGAGTAAAAGCTGCCTATTTGGCTTTTCTTGGAGAGCTCAGGCGATGCCTGCACCCCTGACTGGATCACTGTGCAGAGCACCTCAGGTCCTGAAAGCAACGCTGCCGTGCCGCAGCAAGCACAGCTTTGCACCGCAGCGGTCTGTGGAGGGTCTTGCCATGCAGAACCTCCCCTCGGCGCTAAGGGGAGAATAATATTTTGGACGTTGGTAAGGCTTGGATAATTCATTCCTGTATGCAATCAGAAAGTTACTAGACAGTGTCAGACTTACCACATCAGGAAGAGAGACGTGAAGGACGCTGAGAGCTTGCTAGAGAAATTACTCATCCATGGAGGAGGTTTCTTCCTAGCTCTCCTACGGAGAGATTGATTTATGGCCAGAAGCATAAACATTTTATAACCCTCGTTAAAAATAAAGTACCTTGGATACATCGTGGTTTTAAGTGTTGGCCTCAGCAGTATCTCATGGATGAGAGTTCTGGCTCATTTTCCTTTGTATAAAGTGCCCATCTTTACCAGTTTTGAATGAGTCTCCCTCACGCTCTCACCAGCTATGTCCTTGTTCTCATGGTGAGAGTGGACGCTGGAAAAGGTGAGGACCAGAGCAGCTACACAAACTGCAGAACATATTACTGAAGTGAATGGGGTTCAGAGCTGATTGATTTCTCAAAACATGAGTTTCTGTTTCAACAGCTGATGAATGGTAAGAGTGGTGGCCTGAAAGAGAGCTCATGTTTTGCTTGCATTAATTTGATATTATTTGGACTCCCGAATTAATCCCTTCCTCACTTTCCGAGCCATTTACAGAAGAAGGAGCCTCTAAACCCCTCAGCAGGATGAACAAGACCGAGGGAGCTTCTGAGAACCCAGAGTTTTGGAGCCCAGGTCGCACACAAAGCACCTCCTTGAGCAGTGTGGCACTAACGTTTGCATTTGGCCAGCAGGCCACAGACAGAGCCCTGAATGTGATCCTTATTGTGGTCCTCGTTGTCATCATGGTATCTCTGGGGTGTACGATGGAGATAGCCAAGTTCACAACTCACCTCAGAAAAGCCAAAGGCGTGGCAATTGCCGTAATGGCTCAGTACAGCATCATGCCCTTGACAGCATTTGTACTGGGCAAGCTCTTCCAGTTGGGTGCTTCAGAATCCCTGGCCATCCTCATCTGTGGCTGCTGCCCGGGGGGACACCTCTCCAACATCTTTAGTCTGGCACAGAGAGGGGACATGAACCTCAAGTAAGGAAAGCTGAGTACAGGTTCATAGCCCAGGCCAACCTAGTCATATGACTGGTTTAGAAACTAGTTTAATCAAAATTAGCAATCCCCAAAAAGATGGACAAAGACTTAGATACTGTATCTAGAATATTTTTAAAGCATCCACATTGCTCGATGAGCAAATTTGTCCCCATTTTACAATAAAATGGGATTGTGTACCTTTCTCTGAAGCACATGGCATGCTGCTCTTGTTGAGATGGGTGCAAGAACACTTTTTCATCTCCACGTAACAGTACATGTGGCATATATATGCTATATCTATCCATTTAGTGGCATATAGTTCTGTGTAAACTGAGCACGCTGTCTGAAGAGGCTGCATCGTTGAGAAACGCTGAGCTAGCAGAACACTACTCCAACACCTCCAAGCACAAAGCCCACATTTGTAGCATGATCTGTATTTGCACATTGTAAAGGGAACACGAAGCCTAACCTTTTAGGGATGCCAGTATTGCTCCTGATAGAGCAGGTTTGGCATAGGCACACGCACAACACGTTGCAACAGCAAGGTGGGCAGGGTTCTTTTTAAATTGTTTAAAAGTGGGTTAAAACTGTAATTGGTTTCACTTTTCTTTAGAGGCAGGCAGACAGTCTTCACAGAAACTGGCTGCCAGAACATACAACTATGCTCAACTACCCTCAAGACTGCCTTCGCCCCAGAAACCATCGGCCCCCTGTACTTCTTCCCGCTGTTCTACTTGCTGTTCCAGCTTGGAGAGGGACTGCTGCTCATCCTGGTCTTTAGGATCCATGACAGAATAAAGAAACCAAATGGTAAGTATAGTTTTGCTCCTGTATTTCTTACACTTTCCAAGTCAAATCACAGATGCTTACATACCATTACCAATGATTCTGCTTTCTACAGGCAGAATCAGGTTCCCTTTAACTCAGTTATCATACCCAAATAAAAAAAAAATCACAAATCACAGTCAAAAATTCATAGGTAACTGAAGACATTTAAAATTATGACTTCTTGCATCAGCAGAATGTTCCATAGAGCTATAGACTATCTGTATTATCAGTGCTCAGAGGTTTTCAGGGTCCTGTGTTTAAACTGGGGTGGCCATCCTGCAAAAGCTATGATTTGCACTGAGCACATGCACGGAACAGTCACACACACACCCCCCCCAAAACTACACGAGATCAGATACTCTTTAATGCAACAAATTGCAGCTTCTCAGTAAACTGTTGAGATTCACTGAAGGGCGTCACTTCTGGAGTGAGGGGAGGAAGGAAAGGAAAGAACTGTCAAGTACTGCAGCTGAAGGAAGGAAACGTGGATCTTTTGATGGAAAAGTACCTAAGTAGATTGAAGCTTAATTAAAATACATATACAGTATTGGTGTAGATGCAAGGTAGACTCTTCTCCAACTTCAACAGGTGCATAATGCCAAAGCCCAGCTGAGTGTCTGCGAAGATGGCTGGAGAATGCACTGATGAATGAGATCCTCCACCAGACACCCCACTGATGCTTCCAGACCAGCTTTCTTCAGTCCCTTGGGATAAAGAAGCACCTGAGGAGCTGCTACCGGGCTGCTGCAGGAGCACTTTGTCATATCTTACCGATATACCTGAAGGATGACTGCTACTGGGGAAAAGCACCTGCTCAGTTTGCATCCTCAGGTGTGCCTTCAGTGCAAAGCAGTTGATACTGGAAACAGCCATACAAGTGCTTACAAGACTACTTGGTGGTTTTCCAGGCTCTGATTCCTAAATGATTGTGGAAAAAAAAAAAAAAGGCTCAAAAATTTTGACAGGACCTCCAAGTTTCTTCCTTTTCCTTTAGATCACCCAGCAACAGCAATTGTGGATGTGTCACAATCTTTCCATAACCTGGTTTCAGAACTGCCCATTTTCACTGTTTTTCTTTTTCTTCAGCTGCAGAACAAATGATCTGCACGGGTGCGGACATACTTAGCGCTCAAGAAATTAAAGCAGTGTCAAGACCCTGCAGAAACAGTGGGAAACCAGGAAAACGATACAGATTCTGCAGCAGCTGCTACCACGACCCCTCCAAGCTCCACCTTCTGCAGCCTGCTCACGGGCCTCCAGCAGTTCCGTGCAAGAATTATCTCTATGCTCATTTTACGCTAAAGGGAATGCCACAGAGCTATCTGCACCCTCATCGTTGCTTCCCAAAGACCTTGCTCCAAAGCCTCTCCCTGCCTGCCCACGAGGGACACTTCCAGTGACTTCTATGTCATCGTGACAACCCTTTGGGACAGCTTAGGTCCACGCTCCCAAGGGATTGCCCCCAGTTTTGCCCGTATGCAAATCACTGCCCACATCAGTTCCCTTTTTTTAATTTCACTTACCTGCAATTGTCCTGCTGGCACGTGCTGGAAGCAGCTCTCAAAGACATCGCTGAAGATGAATGTAATTTCTCTAACGAAGATCCACGATGAGGTGTGGAAGTTTCCCAGCGCGGGCGCCACCGAGGCCCAGCGTGCAGCCGAGCAGCCCCTGGCCTGCGGGGCACTCCCGTTTGCCCAAACCGGCACGCTCCACGCAGCAGAGGCCACAAAACCCGAACGCAGCTGCACAAACTGCCTCAGCACGTCGAGCGGGGGCCCAGCAAGCTGCACCTCCGAAGAGATGAGCCTTGAACGCGCCTTGCTTTGTTCAGGCCACCGTCTAGCTCCCATCATGCTACAAATAAGAGTACGAGGGAAGATTGGCTTTAACAACTCTGATGTGCAAAGTATGCCTTGTGACCTGAAGTAATCTGTCTTAACTAAGGATAAAAAGGCTCGCACCAAGGACCTATGCTTCACCAGTGCAGAATCCCTTCCGGCCAGAAGTCATCGTAACCCTCCGTAGTGCAAAGCCTGGGACTTTTGTTTTAAACTCCAAGTTCAGCATCACAACAGCCAGCTGCCCACGCGAAACGCAGAAATCCATTCGTGCTGCTTGCGAGGCAGGCGGTGTGGTTTAGTAACAGCCTTCGGAGCAGCTATTTAGAGAGCAGGTAGTACTTTGTGTTTAGCCTGAAGGAGGGAAGTGTCCGAAATCCCACTCCCTTCCAATCATCCGGTGCCTTCAGCCACCCGGGGTGCGTGTTGGAGCCCAGTCCCACGGGAACACAGATGCTCGTCATCATTCAAGTCAGCAGGAAGGCTGGACTGGCTTGAGGTAGGGCAGCTCACCTTGCACCCAGGTGAGCGGCAGTGCTGCCTTTACCCCTGGAAGTTAAAGCCCTCTTCTTCCACGCCTCTTAAGGCGAGCCAGCAACTACAAACCTCGGAGAACGAAGCCTCCCACCCCCCAGAGCTGACCAGTAATAGTGCAGTGAACTGCGTGGCAACCTGACCGGCTCCCGGTGCCTGCTCCCAGGAGCAGTGACACGCTGCCACCTCAACGCACACACAAGGCGCAAAAGCTCGCTCTCCTTCGTTAGCTCAGAACACAATTACCAGGCTGTGCAACAGCACAGCCTGCAGACACCGAACGACTCGCCTCCCCCACAGCCAGACCTCGCTCTGCACAGAACCGTCCTCTGTTGCCCAGGATCCGATCCAAAGCCCAGCCTAGGCTCCAGAGTTCTTTTGAAAGGTTTCAGTGGATTACTGGAGTGGCTTTGTAAAGCACTGTGTAAGAAAACTCATTTTTAAAATTAAATTCTAAGGCTCTCTCTTGCAACACAGATGAGTTTGAGAAGCGCAGGGACTGCAGTTGCTGCCCCTGTAAGGCACAAACACCAAAACACGGGCTGCAGTACTCCCACCCACCGACTTCAAAATCCCGCCTCTTCCTCCAGGCTGAGGACGAGTGCCTACAGAAATGCTTTATCCACACCTCAGTGCTCTCTCACATGCGTGTGCACAAACACACTAACGAAGTACGCCGACTACATCCATCTTTTACACCCCACACTTATTAGCTAACCAATGATTAATAACCTGTATGACTCGTCCATTACACTTTCTGCTATGAACTACGACAGCACCACGCTCCTTATTACCAAAGTTCTTATTTCAGAATATAAAGATAGCCAGGGACATAGCGTGATGTATTTAAAAGGAAGTAAGTTCTCCCCCACACCCGAAACGCTCAAGGATAGCTCTGTTGTAAACCTGTCCTTAAGAAACATTTTACCGCTGCCCAACAACATGAGGCGCAGTCACACACACTTTAAAATACTAAGAACACACCAGAAGCAGAGACATGGTTCTTTATACTTTATTTGAGCTATTTAATTCTTAAGTATCAAGAATTCGGGTGCTTTATAGAATATTATTACCACAGGGCAGTGAAATGGGCATTTTCTTAGTGTAGTGCAAGTCATATTAAATGAAAAGCTTTTAAAATAAAGTTTTATTACCAGTACTGACCAGCACTTAATCTGCTGACCTATAGCTGAAACAATGGTTCAAAAGCACAAAAAAATACCCTCTGAAATAAAGCTTTATGTACAGCACATGTAGAGCTCTTAGATGCCTAAAGCTATTAGCTTAATTTGAGATATTAAACTGATGTTCTGAGTTGCTATTCACAGTTGAATATACTGGGAATTAAGTGTTCAGATGACTTTTCTTGGAGTACAAAAAAGTTTGTCGGCTTTAGTTATAAAGAGCTCTGCCAATATACACAAACTATACACTTCAGACATTCACAAAAAAATGTGAGCAAGAAAAGGGTTATCAAAAAACATTTAATACAATTAGTCAATAACCCTTCCCACCATGGTCCACATCTACAAAGTTCCCCCATCCCTCCCCCCTCCCCATCCAAACCCTTCCCACAGAAAGTCACATACTTACCACAACTTTTAGCAAGTATGGTTTAAAAAAGGGCCCCCAGGGCAAGTTACTTATAGTTCAGTTGCCACTGTCAACAGATCTGGACCTCGATCTAGACCTCTGCCGATCCACGGATGACGGGGATTTAGATCTACTGGAAGAACCACGTTTCTGGCTCTTCTCTGGCACTGGAGATCTACTAACTGATCGAGACTTGCTACGGCTCCTACTCCTTGACCTGCTGTAAGACTTGCGGCTGCGGGAACGGGAACGGCTACGAGACCTGGATGAGCTTCTGCTACGAGACCGTGACCTGCTTCTGGACCTACTGAGGAAACAAAGAGTAGCGGTGTTAGCAGTGGAACGTCACGGACCACGACAATAACCAAGCCAGTCTCCAGTTTGGTTGCCTGGTGGATATTTAAGAATTACTTAAGAAAATAGAAATCCATACCTGTGCCTTTTGCTGCCTTCAATTAGTTTAATTTTCCTTCCATTTATTTCTTTACCAGAAAGCTTTTCAATAGCATTCTTTAAATCACTGTAAGAGGCGAATTCAACCACCCTACAGAAAAAAACCAAAGCAAAACAAAAACAAAAGCCAGAGCTCACTATTACAAATTGTAATTTTGGTGACAGAGCAAAACATAATCTGAGATAAAAAACCAAACTCACTCAAAAAGCCTTGCACTGCCCAACGTAGTCATCCCCTTGTCATAACTCAAGCATGAACTGAATTCCCCCTCCCCAAAGAGCAGAGAATGCATTTTCTAAGGGTAGCTAAATGAGCAGCTGCTAAGCACTGAAAGTAGCCAGCTTCCATCCCCAAATATTATACATACAAATTTAACCCTACAGCTTTTGAAGACATTATTTTAGAGGCTTACCCTTCATTTAACTTAGGTCTGTGTGCATCTGCAAAGGTTACTTCCCCAGCTTGTCTCATGAAGTCTTTGAGATCCTAACACAAGACCAGTTATGTTATGCACAGAAGTGAAATTAATACTTATCTATATAAAAATATTTTTAAATAAATAAATTTATGACTACTGAAAGAGAAGATGTTAGATAAATTACAAACATGGCAATTGCCATACTTGTATTCTATCAAAATTTAAATATATTAGGGCACGAAATAAATGAAAAAAGCATATTGCTTTAAGCAAAATGCTAATAAAGTGTCTTAACATTAAGGAAAATATTAGTCTACAATGATTATAGAGATTAAATAAGAAAGAAAGAGAGAGAAAGAGAGAGAAAGAAATAAAAAAGTACATTTGTATATATACTGGACTGAGTGTGAAATACTACCCATATATTTTTGTACTATTTCAGTCTCCATTTACATTACGAGTCTTATATGCATACAGAATTACATTTACATAACACCAATTATTTTGTGCCCCATATGTCATTAAAAATATAGTTTACTTTACCTTTATTAACATTTCCCTAGGCTAGCCAAGCAGCAAACTGCATTAAGCGACCGGAGATACCGTCATGATATATGCCCGACTGGCTCTTCGCCACCCACTTGACGAACACTACCCAGTCGATGGAAGCCATTAATCGCACTGCCCTCCCTATTAGGAGACTATTGATGGATCCAGACATTCTCTATGCTTGATGTTACCAAGGACCACTTTACTGCGATCAGGATTCCAACGACCACCTAATTTCGTATCTTTCAACTCTTTTCGACCAGGACCTCTTTATTCGGAAGCGTTACAGGAAGAACAGCTCTCAACTTAGGAATCAGATCTCGTTAACGCTCTGGGATCGCTGCAATGTGGCACTTTAAGGAGTGCATCGATTACGTCTAGACCGGCAAACACAGATCTAGAGGTGGCCAAGTGACATTGTAGGAGCTGACTGGAAAGTCAACCAGGCCCAACCAAGAGTGACCAAGACAGAACGATTAGGATAACCCACAGGCACTCCTCGTCATAAGGCCAACGACACAGATAGGCTGGCAAATAAAGGGTTTAATATGTGGTTAAAATGGATTTAAAAAACAAGAAAAAAATAAATATATATCCTCAAATATATACATTTATTATTATTAAGAATTATAATTAACTAGTTTGCATTCAAAGTATTTAAATTACATTATTTAAAATTACAATCATTACATAAACATTTTAATAAATTATATTTAATTTTTAATTAATTATTTTACAAAATAATTACATTACATACCCATTAAATGAAGTCAAAATAGTTAATCGTGTTTCAACAAACCTGCCAGCTGACTCGGGAAGACAAATTTTCTACTATGAGGCGATTTTCTGTTCTTACAGGTGGTGCATTTCTATTTGGAAATAAACAATTGAGACTTTAATTAGTAATTAAAATACAACTACATGGACATATTTATAAAGGCTGTACCAGTAACCAATATCAGCATACCATCGTTACTACTACAACTTAACTATGGAACGCCCTGAGTGATCTAGGACAAGCATTAAGTAGTTTTTAGGAGGGAAGCATAAAGACAACAAGCGTATCTGTAAAGTTTTGTAATCTTTGTAATCCTCACTATCCTACCGCCACATCCAACAAGTGACTAAAAATACCTTTTAGCATCCCATTCTAGATCAAGTTCTTGACTCAGATGAGTCCACGGTATTTTTTTAAACTGTGTCAGTTCAAAGCTATACATACCTCCTGTCACTACGTGGACGGCGGCTACTAAAACGGTCAGAGTACCTCCCTCTGCCTCTACCCCTAGAGCGTGCTCTTGCATGCTCAATTGTAACCCTGGGGAAAAAGAAAAAAAAAAAAAGAAATGGAAAACCATACATTTTTACATTTTTCTTCTTACATATTCCTTACATATTCCTTCACAGTCATAGGGAAAAAAAAAAAAAACAAAACCAAAATAGTTTAGAGTACTGATAACACAATGTGAGTTAAAATTGACTCCTTTTTATGGATATTTACATCCATATACACGTGAAAAAGGGTACATCACCTCTCACTGCAAAGCTCTTTTCCATCCAATTCATAGACCGCATCATCTGCATCCCTTGGATCCTCAAATTCCTGCAAAACCACCGCAGCGAAAGCGTAAGAGAAATCCCATCTCTAAGAAACTGGCAAATGCTCATTTGCCCCACCGGACGCTTAGCTAAGCACGTCAGCAGCGGTATTTTCAGAAGTAGCTTCGCGCACATCAAACGCGCCCCAGACCCCGCGCGACCGCCGGCGGCCAGGGCCCGCAGACCCCGCGGAGAGGCGCACTCACCACAAACCCAAACCCCCTCTTCAGGTCGATGTCGCGGATGCGGCCGTATCCCTTGAAGAACCTCTCCACGTCCTTCTCCCTGGCGGCCGGGTTCAGCCTCCCGATGAAGACGCGGCAGCCGCTCATGGCTGTGGGGGGGACCTCGCTGCGGGAGACACGGCGCCGGGGCCGTCAGCGCCCGGTGACTCAGCACCCCCCGCCCCGCCCCGGCCCCCCACCGCCGCTGCGGCCCAATAGGAAGGAGCCAAGTGGGGTCCGCCTTCATCTGCGCCAATGGGAACACGACGTGCGCCCCGTCGCCCTGCCCGTAACACGCCTACGCCCCGCCCCTCCGGCGCATGCGCGGCGCCCCCATCCCGGCCAGCGAGGGAAGAAAAGGCGAACGCCATGGCGCCGCCACAAAATGGCGGCCCGGGCCACACCCAACAGCGCCCGCTTCGCGGAGCGGAACCAAGCGACGAGAAAACCGGTCCCCGCCGACGGGGAGCAACCTGCGCTCCCGGAACCCCGGCCTGTCACGAACCTGGGCTGCGGGTGCGGGGCAGTGGGCACTCGGCTCCTCCCGGCTGCCGCCTCCTCCTCCTCCCTCCGCGACGGCCGGCTGCGGACTGCAGCGCCGCTCCGCCGCTGCGCTGCAAAATGGAGGCGGCCCGCCCCCGCGCGTCACCGCCGCCCCGCGTGACGCCGGCGCGACGATGCGATTGGCGGAGGCGGCGGCCACGCCCCTTCCCCAGAGAATCCCGGCGGGGGCCGGGGGGTGCGGTGGGGGCTCCCGCAGGGACGCGGGCCGTACCCCGCCGGCGGGGGAGAAAACGGGCAGCGGCGTGAACGCTGGTCCGGAGCGTGGGGAGCACAGCGTGTGACTGCACGTGGAAGCCATTTTGAAAAGGCAGTTAAAGCACAAACCTGGATTTTCAGAGTGTTGCGTAGCACGGGGCTGTCGCCACAGCCGAATGAGTAGGTTAAACACAACCGTCGGCTTCTTTTATTCCTACAGCACATACGGACTAAAAACGGTGCTGCGTCTGCGTGCCAGGCAGGCGCAGGAGTGGGCAAGATCTTGCAGAAACAGGCGTTTCTTTCTTGGCCAG